GCCTATTTTTAGCTCAATCCTTAATTACAGAACTTTAAACTGAACTAGAACAGTCAAGTAATTAAAGGTGGATGCTTGTCTTGGGTAATTTTTTCCCCTAGGAAAAAGCAGGGCTCTACATTTTCTTTCAAATGACTCAAGAAAGAGGAAGAGAACAGCACAATTGAAAACAAGGCAATTAAAAAAGCCAAATTCTGTTCTCCACCCCTCACTGGTGTAAACAGCAGTGCACAGACACGAGTGGGGAGGGCAGGATTTGGCTCATTACACCTTATTTGTTCACAAATTATTTTGGGTTAAATATCAGTACCTCCTCGAATTCCTTTGAATGGGTAGAAAAATGCCACGAGCAGGTTCATGAGCACRGCCAGGTTAAAGGAAATGCTGCTCCAGAAGGACATGTTCCGAGCACACCAGTACAGGAAAGGCTGAGCTGCAAAACAGAAAAAAAAAAATTCATTTTTATTATGCCCTCCATTAAAAAAAGGTCTCTGTAAAAAACTATCACCACCAAAACAAGTTTATTTTCAGGGTGCCTAAAAGCACAGCATCAAAAGTCATAAYATTCATGGCTAATGCTGGAGTTTATTTAATTATCCTTCATCCTGGGGTCACTGCAAGTTTCCTACATGGTGCTTTAAGGCAAAGGATCCCTGGTTAAAACATGGTTTAGCAGCAGCAAGAGAACAAATTGAGAAATGCAGAGATCAGGCCTCCCCCAACAGTGATATACTTTGTACTCAGAGTCACTCCAAGAACAGTTTGGAGGAGGAAAAAGATCCAAGCCCATCCCTCAGTGCTCTGCTGCTGCCAGCAGCTCACCTGCAGCAGGCACTGCCACTGCAAACTCATTTTCTGCTGGGAAGAGCCCCAAACAGCCCCAAAATAACCAGGGGTTATTCCCTCTGCCTTCCCTCTGCCCTGGGGTGAAGGATTCAGCACATCTGAGCATGGAGCTCAATGCACAAACTGCACATTTAAATTCTTCATGTCACACAGAAATCCTTCTCAAAAAGACTCCTAATTTCAGTAATCCCTGCAGCCAGAAGCGAGGGGCAGAAGGCAGGAAGATCCCTTTGCTGAGGTGGTTGTGAACCCTAAGTTGACAAGGAAGCCAAAAGCTGCAGTAATTCCCTCAGCACCCAGGCAAAACCCCAAATTCAGCTCCTGCAGGCTTGGACACAGCAAACTGTGTCCTTCTGAAATCCAGAGTAGGGAAAAAAATCCATTAAAATGCTCTTAACGAAGGGAAATAACAGGTTTGTCCTGGTGGAAGAAGGCAGYGTGTTTGGATATCAGAGAACAAACAAAAAGCTCTCAGTAAAATTTAGAAACAAGCTGTAAATGCAGACTTTGGGGCTGAAGAGTCATTTGTTGGATGCAGTTGCGAGCCTTGCAGCAGCCACCACCTCTCCCCAGCAAATCYCCTCCTCTAACACCCCCAGCAAAAAATGGGGTAAACAATTCCACAAGGTCTCAATGTCCCCAGTTTCCTTTTAACTGGAAGAATTTGTGAGCAGGTTSAATGGATTTATATTTATTGTTATATCAGGGTGATCATAAAGGTCCAGGTTTAACTTTAGACCTCCCTTTGGGGATGGACACTGACTCTCTGGCTGGGTGTGCCTCTGCCTGGCTKTGGCAGCTCATTTCCATCCTTAATTAATAATTAAGAGACTCCTGCTGCTCAGAGCACGGGCCAGCACCATGAATTGGAGGGAGAAGCACATGGGTCTTTATWTAAAAAGTCTTTTTCAGGGTTGAAGTGGTATCACATGAGCACACACAGCACTGCCAGAGCTCACAGCTCCAAACTGCTGAAGATGTGAGAAGCAATTCTACAAATGTAAAAAATCTCTCAGAGACCAGACAAAACCTGAGTATTAAGGACAGAATAAATTATCCCAGTTTCTTATAGAAAAAAATAAACATTCTCCACTTCTGCAGGTGGGTCTTGGCTGATTTGTGGTSTGCTGTTAATGATGAATGCCTTCACAGCGTGCTTGGAGACAGCCTCAAAGACAAAGTGACTCCAACAACCAAATCTAACAAAATAAATGGATGCTGTTGAAGTTGCAATTTGTTTACGATGTCACAGTCCCAGATTCCTTGCAGAGCTCTCAGGTTTTTGGAAGSAGTCCCACATCTGCTCCAGGAGGGGTTCCAGACCAGCCCTACCCTTGCACTAAAAGTGCAAAACAGTGGGATCAGAKGCAGGGCTGGCTGGAGCAGGAAGGACCAGCTTTATCTCACATTTACAGGGTCACTGGTGAGCATCTCACCACTGCCCACTGGGCCTCAGCTGCAGTGCTTGGCCTTCAGCCAAACAAGAACAAAAACATGAASCAAATGAGCTAGAAGGTTTACTGGGGGACGTGCTGGCACTGAGTGAATTAAAATATCATTTTAAGGGATTTCCCAGCTGCCAGTGGGAAGCTCAGAGGGAAAATCAGTGCTTGGAAATACCTGCTTTCAGATATTTTAGCATCACAGGGATGGAAGGGACTTACCAACCCATCAGCCAGTCTACCTGCCCAAAGAAGGATGAATTCTTGGATGAACTTGATAATGACTGAGAAATGYATCTTTAACTTGTTCCCAAACAATTCTATTGCTGGAGATGCCTTAAGACCTGAGACCTTTAAGACCAGGTCCAACCTTGCTGCACATCCAGCACAGGGAAGGAGCACARGGCACTGCTCCCTTCAGCTGTGTCCTCTCCCCTTCTCATCTCAGCTGCTCCTCCACACATTCATTGTTCCTGCTGGATCTCAGAAAGGAYGAATTGTGCTCCCTGCTCCTCCTCTGCCCTGGATCCCCTCTAGAGGATCCCCTGGATGCAGCACCCAGTGTGCCTTCACCCCAGCACCCACCATGGTGCACACAGTGATGGAGGCTGATGCCACCCTGCCTGATGCCAACCTGGGGACCACCTGATGCCACCCTGGGGACCACCTGATGCCAACCTGATGCCACCCTGGGGACCACCTGATGCCAACCTGGGGACCACCTGATGCCACCCTGATGCCACCCTGCTGCCCAGCCAACCTTCCAAACCCCAACATCCCCACCCAGCATTGCACCGGTGCCACATAAAGCAATGCCCGCCCACCTCGCAGCTTCTTCTGCCAGTTCATCTCGTTGAARAGATCCTCTGACTTGAGGAAGAAGTCGTTGATCTTGCTGCCCTGCTCGTCCCTCTCGGTGGTGTAGTAGATGCGCAGCTTGGACTCYTTGGTGAGGAACTCGCAGATGCTGGGCACGGGGAACACGATCTGCTCCATGGTGCGGTCCGACCTGACAATCTGCACAGCAGCCTCGTCAGTGCTCCCTGATTTATCACTGCTGGCCTTTCTGCCTGCTCTGCTCCCCCTTTCAAACCAGCCACGTGCAGAGATGTTTTCAAAGAACAGCAGCTCGGCACAGATTGCATTCAATTTGCCTTTCTGCATTTAGCTGCAAAACTGCGAATTTTTGTGCTGGGGTCTTATCCTGAGCTGGRATTTCCAAGGGGCCCAGTGAATCCYACCCCAAAGCTGGGATGGATTTCAGAGCAATGTGGTGGCCCAATTCAAGAACATTGGCAAATTTGAGCCATGGGCAAGTAAAAGGAGTAAGTTGTATCTGTATTGCTTATGACACAGTTTTGTGAAGTCACAGAACCATGGACTGATTTGGGTTGGAAGGGACCTTAAAGATCATCCCATGGGTAGGGACACCTTCCACCATCCCAGGCTGCTCCCAGCCCCATCCAGCCTGGCCTTGRACACTTCCAGGGCTCCAGGGGCAGCCACAGCTACTMTGGRAAATCTCAGTATTTGTGAACATTTTACTTTCATAAAGCTCTTAGATGGCACATGAGGCCAAACTGTCACTTGAATCCGGAAAGAGTGGCAAAAGCTCTCACAAACTTTCTGGATTCAGCAATAGCAGCGGCCAAAATGGAACAGAAGCGAAGSCACACTTCCTCCTGCCAAGAGAGCTCTGCTCAGCTCCATCCCCGAGCCCACACATGACAGCTCAGGAATAGCTCCCCCCGCCACTGCCAGAGAATTAAATAAATAACTCTGCCTGTGTGCTCTGTATCAGAGACAACAGTCCACAGGCAGGCAGGCAGAGCCATGGCACCTCCAGGAATGTTGTCCCCAGGGCTGAACTGCCTCCTTTTCTCCCTGCAGGCTCAAACCCTGGGGTTACCTCGATCTGGGCCGTGTGTTTGGCGTAGAACTCCAGCGCCTCGTCCCCCTCGATCTGACCCCCCGGCTTCAGCATGTTCTGCAGCTCTTTGTTGTGACGAGCCAACTAAAATAAAGGAATGCACAGGGAGTGGGAGACACCAGATGTCTCTCTGCGATATTAAATTTCTGATTTTTGGCATAAAAAAAGAAATAGTACGCAGTCAGCTGCTAGGAAAGGGCAAAGTTGACAGAAGGCTTGTTCTGTTCCAACCAGACACCCTGCAGCTCTATTTTGGGAGCAAGTCAGAATGATTCAAATATGTATTTCTTTAATGCCAGTGTTGTACTCCTCTTTTCCCCATCCTCTCCCACCCTCTGCCTGGCTTGGCAATGCTGTTGAGCATTCACATTCAGCCTGTCCTTCTACAGCCACCCTAACCCAAAGGTGTGCTCACCACCCAAGGATCCAGGCAGGGACAAAGAGGAAATCTGAATCAACTGAGCAGCAGTTCCAAAAGTGCTGCTGGATGCTCCAAATTCATCCTGCAGCACAGGGATGGTGTGTCTGCTCGGATGCTGAAGGAACAAGGAGTCCCTAATGCAGTCAGAGATGCAGCAGCAATAGATTAAGTAGATTGAGATGTATTTTTCTCCCTTTTGGTTTTATTACCTTTCAAACACACATTGTGTCAATACAATGGCTCTGCTTGGCTCCAGCAGAGAGAGAATGTGGCCAGGACCGAGATTTCTGATTACACTCTAATTGATCTGTGAGCAGAATTTCTTTGGGAGTATAAAGTAACCTTTGATACAGCTGAAAAATAATACACTGCTGCTCAGTGCTGCCAAGAATCGAGCCATGTGTCCTCAGGAACTCGGGCCACAGCCTGCCTGCTTCCCACCATAAAAGAAAATTCCCCAAATTTTCTTGTATTACACAGTTGTTGTTTCTGATTAAGWCTGGGATTTGCTCTGATAACAAGAGAACGTGCAGTGAGTTTCTCTCAGAGWTGAGCCACTAAAGCAGCTCCAGGGAAAAGCAGGCTCTGGCTTTTCCCAATCTGTGACTCGTGGAGGAACTCTACCTGATGAGCCAAGATGTAAATGTTGTGTCCCACGTTCCTCGGAGATGCTGCCACATCTTCCCCGTTCTCCCCATCCTCAAACTCCACCTCTCCCTGCAGATAAGCCTTCTTGATGACTTCCACCTGCAGAAGGRGCAGAGGAAGGAGAGGAGGCTCAGCAAAAGCTGGGAGCTGCTGAGGGCAGCACAGCCTCGATGCTCCTGTGGATGGGAAGGGGAGTGTGCAGGGACATTCACAGCGAGGGCAGAGGGTTCCTCAACATCCAGGAGCAGCAGGAGGGCTGAACTCTGCTTCAGCCAGCTCACTGACACAAGGAGCTGAACCTCCTGTTCCCTCAAGGTAACATATTCCAGGTCCTGCTCTCTGCACCTGCATCACATTCCAACCCCAGCCCCGAGCACTGGGACAAGTCAAGGGGCTTCCGCTGCACTTTGGATCCCCTGTTTGTGTTTGCAGCAGTTCACACATTAACCAGCCCCCAAACCCTGCTGTGGGTTACTGGACAGCTCTTAGGGCACCAGGGATTTTCATTTCTCTCTTTTCCCGTGCAAATGAACGGAGTCAGGAGCTCRGGAGTGACCCTGGCACTCACCAGCTCCTTGGGCCTCATGTTGTAGAGGATCCTCTCGGCGTTCTCGCTGTCGTGCCTGCTCTCCATGATGGCCAAGAGCAGCTTGGAAGCGTTGTTCTGAGGGGAGGGAACAGCAGTGGAGTCACTGCCCAGCCATGGCCCTGCTCTGGTGCCAGGAGGTGCCAYGGGAGCAGCCCCATGGGCAGAGTGTGCCAGCCCCAGCCTCACCCCACCACCCCTCTCTCTCCTCTCATCACTGMCCTACACACCTGCACAGCATTTTTCACTGCTTTATTCCCCAAATCTTATCACTGAGAGGCATCTCATTAACCCCAGCCAAGGTTTAGATCTCTAAAAACGCTGCTGTTTCACGCTCGCCTCGTTTCGTTTCGTTTTAAAGATTCTGCAGCATCACCAGAAGCTCTGAGCTCCCAGTGGTGCAGCTCAGCTCTGCTGAAGATGCTGCTGATTAAATCAAGGGACAGCMCAGACGTGCTTTGCTGCCTTYAGCTGAACTCACTCTRCAGTCTGCTCACGCCAAGGAACACAGGGAGGAAATGGGAAACTACCACAAGGCACCAGACTACTTTAATACGAACAATTAAGATTAAAATCCATCATGCCTGACAATAAAACCCAATAAAAGTATTTAATTTTGAAGTATAATGCTAATCGAGTCTAAAAGCATTTTTTATTTACAATAATAAAAAACCCACATTAGCCATAATAATGGTGTGAGTCGGCAACAGAAAGCAAGGAGACTCTGCAGTGTCAGGCAGGGCAATAAGTCAGGAAGGAAATATTTCTCAAGCACAGGCTGAAGCAAGAGTGCTCTGGGACTGCTGCTGCTAGAGGGGAACCTGCTCCTGTGTTTTGAAACCAGCACYAGGTCTAATTATTTCAGCATTAATACCAAAGCCCTGAAGAACTGGTGATGATTTAACATCAACCGATGAAACAACACCAATAAAGTATTAGGAAAGCAGTTGCAACATGAGAGATTTCACTTCCACTGCACACGTGAAAGCACAGCAACAACAGAAAAGTTTTCATCAGCTTTAAATTTTTTACAGGAAATTACTCCAGAATTCCTCAGCATATCCTGACCGYCTGCATCCCCAGCTGAGAACTGGTGGCTCCACATCATCATTTAAAAGATGAAGTACCTGTGACAAACAACCTTTGGGCACTGCCTCCAGCTCCCTGATGTATATAATTTTTTGGCACTTAYGAATATTGGGATGTAATAAACACCCACATAATTCCAGCAATAAAACCAGGTTTCATCTGACTGTAAACGTGCCTTGCACAGAACATTCACTTGCCTTCAGCTCCAGCACGAGGTCCATCCTCTTCTTTCCCAGAGGGTTGATGTCATTGAGAATTAACGCYGTGATGATGTCAATGCCGTTGGACTCGTGAGTAGCAATGCAGTTCTGTCCAAAGAAAAGTCATCAGGCTTCACTAATTGCCTGCACTGCAAACACTGACCCTGCCAGAGCAGCAGAGTCCCCTCTGTCATCACCTCGAGGGCTGCCTGAGATGGATAACTGCACACACAGAGCTCCAGGCAGCGCAACAACAAAAGAGAAAAGCATTTTGTTCCAAGCTTTTCCTCTCCTCAGCCATGGTCCTGCTGGAGCCCCCGGCCTCAGGAAGCACAAAGAACCACAGCTGATAAATGAAGCATTTCCATGCCAAGGTGTCCAGGCTGGAGGAACAGTGTTTTACTGAGATTAGGGAGAGTTTTCTTTGTTATAAATGTGCCAATCAACACCTCCTTCAGTCCTGTCTGCACCAAGAATGGGAATTTCCATAACCTTCTGCCTACCCTTCAGCCCTGCTTCTGGAATGGTCTGGAACTAAATGTAGAATTGCTGGCTTCAAAACCCAGACAGAGCCCTGCTCTGTCGCTGAACTCCACACCTAAAACACCTAAAGGGTTTTATTCCACCTGATCCAGAGAGCAGAGGGACACTGGCAGCTCTCCCTGGCATGCACAGCCTCACAGGTTCTCTTGCACAGACAAAAATGACAGAAAAGTCACATTCCAGTCTTTAATGACAGCGAAACAACTTCAATCTGAGCAAAACAGGAATACTGCTACTGCTTTGAGTGGCTCAACTCCACTAAGAYAAGTTGATTATTGGGAGTTTATAAAGGAAAAAATCCTCAAAATCATAGGGCAGGTAAAGTGGGCAGTGTTACAGGACAACAGCAGTGYAGCAGAGCTGGGGCTGGCGAGGCAGGGGATGCATTTCCCAGCTCTGGGCTCATTACCTGGTTCTCGTGGCAGGGCCCCTGACAGTACTCAGTCAGACTTTCCAGSGTCTGGTTGATCAGGGCCACGTTTTTCTCGTTTATGTACAGCCCCAGCAGCCCAAGGCCCCCGGTTGTGCTCCCACAGATGCAGTCCAGGAACTGCAGCGTCTCACACACCAGGTTGTAGTTTGTCTTGTTGTTCTGGCAGCGTAGGAAATTCTGTGAGGAGAGCATCAAAGCCATGAGGGAAGGGAAAAAAAAACCATACAAACTGCTTTTGGTTGTCAGTATTTATGAATTTCACCCATCCCCAGCTGCACTGCACAGTTTCACTGCTCTGGTTTCACTGCACAAGCAGTTTAAGCCTCTTCCCAGGGTTTATCTGCAACGTGCTGCTCTCCTGAGCAGCTTCACAGAAACAGAGAGATCCATCAGAGCCGGGCACCCAGCACAGAGCAGGCACTCTGGAAAGCTCCCTGGAGCCTGGGAGCCTCACTCCATCTGCTGCATTTCCCTGCCAGCCATCCCTGCAGGCTCCCAGACCCCCCAGACCAAGGGGGAAACAGAGATTCCCTGGCTGGGGCATCCCAGAGCTCCACCAGGAGACAGCTGGGGAAAAGGGCACACTTAGAAGGAAGGGGACACCTCAAAAAGGAAGGTGAACACCTGGAAGGAAGGTGCCTTGAAATGGAATTCTCTCCACTGCATTTCTTCCCACAGAATTATTGTAATTCCTCCTTGAAGCTGCTGATGAGGAGCATCTCCTCTAATGAAAAGTCAGATGTATCAGTGTGGATTTAACAGCTTTCTGCTCTCCTGTATTCCAAATGGAAAAACAGCACCAAACCCATCCAAAATTAAAGGACARTTAATGAAAACCAATTTCCCAGTGCCTCAGCTGCTGTTTGCCAGTGCATTCCCAGCAGTGCTGCAAAGACTGACAGCCACTACCTCTTTCTTTTCCTTAAAATTTCAGCAGGGAAACTCTTATCTAGCTGAATTCTGGCAGATAACAATYCCAGAGTGACAAACCCCTGAGAGGAACAGGAGCCAGGGGACTGTGGAACCAGCAGGGTCTTTCCTGGCTGTCTGTGCCTCAGACTAATGTAAGGCAAACAGGGAGAGGAATTGCARATTCAATGGAAGGCAAAGCTAAAAAGGGAAAACGCTGTCTATGAATGCAGACTAAAGGTGACAGTGATTCAGCACATTTCAGCTGATTGCTCATTTAGTATCCTGACTTCTGATTAAGTTGTCAGAATGTAAAAAGGTTGATCCTACAGAAATCAGAGCTCGTGCCTTCTCTCCAGGAAAAAAAGCAAAACTAAAGGAGAATACCCGAAGTGAGGCAGTAAAATGCTCCCTGGCTGCAGCACAGAATTTATTCTGATTACAGCTGGGCTTGTACCTGAGCTGCCTGATGCACAGTCTGTAAGGAGAGAGGAGAAATGAGGCACAGGAGACACGAGGACATGGTGAGGCAAAAACAAGGAGAAGGAAAAAATTGTGGAAAACAAACCCCTAGTGCACTGTGAGAAACTGCCCCAGGGAGTGTCTGCTGCTGTCTCAGCCAGGACACAGCGAGCTCTTCATTCCCAGTGACCCTGAGCATCTCACAGCTCTGCAGCACTGAGTGTGCCATCCCTTCTCTCTGAGCCTCTGACAGACCCTGCAGCCAGAACGAGCAGCCACGGGCAGAWTCAGCTGGAACATGGCAAAAATATGAACCCACCCATTTGTCCCAGCCCTTTATTGATTTGGAGAATACTGCAGCCCCTCCAGCCCCATGGGACAGCATCCACATGGAGCAGAGGGGCTGTGGCTGGGATGGGAAACACTGATGAGAGGGCACAGAGCTGCAGCTGCCTCAGCATCCTAGAGCCTTCCTCCTCCTCCTCCTCCTGAGTGCAGAGTGACTGCAGCTCCCCGTGTGTGCACAGCATCTCCCTGTGTGTGCACAGCATCTCCCCGTGTGTGCACAGCATCTCCCTGTGTGTGCACAGCATCTCCCCGTGTGTGCCCAGCATCTCCCTGTGTGTGCCCAGCAGCCTGGCAAGGCTTGGGGTGCCCAGCCCACACCTGCACCGGGCAGGTGACCCCAGGTGACTCTTAACCCAACACAATGTGCAATTCTGGGACACACACACAGCTTCCAGGACAGCCCCTCCTTGCTCCTCCAGGCAGTGAGTCCCCTGGCACCACTGTAGGGAGCTCAGCTAAATGCAGACAGGATTTTGGAGGATCAGACACTCCTCCCTCCCCTTCAGGGTGAGAGAGGCACAAACCTCCAGGCAGGCAGGCAGGCAGCAAGAGGATTACACTGGAAAAATTGTTCCACTTCTTTTAATTTTTTGTAAAAAAAGCCAGAAATCCGTTTTTCTCCCCAAGCTGCCTGCAGCTACCTGCTGTTTGGGAAATGCAGTTGTTGAGGATGGGGAAGGGCTCTGGTGCTCTGGCTGGGGTYCAGCTCTGTCCTATAGCTGCGGGTGCCTGGCCAAAGGCAGCAGCAGCTCCTGCGTGTGCGGTTTGGATTTGTGCCACGGGAATCGTGCTCGGCTCCAGCAGCACAAAACCCTCCGACAGAACACGCTTCAAAGAGCTCTCCTTCTTCCAAAATACAGAGGGGCTGCTGGATGTCACCTGGGCGCTCAGGGGTGCAGCCACAGCCAGGATAAAGCAGGGGATTCTCCAYTGCTGCTGCTGCCGGGGCATTCCCGAGCACAGGAAGCGATTTGGCAGCGAACAATGCTCAATCACTGCAATTACTGCTCCTGATGAGGGCATTTAGCACATTGTGCAGCGCCTCACCAGCTCCTCCATCCCACCCCGAACAGAAACCATCGGAATATCAGCCCCTTTGTAAAGGGGAACCTGCTCTGGGCTTCCTGCAATTCTACAAATACATCCCAGGGCAGCAAGGGAACTCCAGGCACACGGAGAGATCCGTGAAAATCCAGGAAAACCTGCTCACTGAAAGATAAACTTGAGGGCTGCTGCAACCAAATTCCCAATGTCCTTTTCATTTTCCTACCTGGTTTTAATTTCTTTCCCTCCCCTCTCAAAAGCAAATCAGCACCTTCAGAGCACGACAGTTGCTTGCTTTAAACATAAACCGTGTGCGTTTTTTTAACCTTTAAAAGCCACAAGAAGCGTTGATGATGTACCTTTCAAAGCCCAGTGGATAACTGGACTTCCTCCCATCAGTCCAGCACGRTACCAGTACTTTTTTTTTTTTTTTTTAATTAACTTCAAGACCAAAGAGAATAATTGATGACATAATCCCTTTAAAAAAGCAGGGGATTAGGGATGCAACGAGCACACAGGCGGTACCTGCAGGTCACGGTTGTGGTTCTCGCACAGCAGCTGCAGGAAGCGCAGGATGGGCTGCATGATGGAGATGACAGCGCTCATCTCCAGCTCATCTTTGCTCTTATCAGCCGCAGTCTGGGCCCCCTCGGCGGCTGTGTAGTGCTCCTCGGGGTCGGCCTCTCGTCGGTAGGTGTTGTACGCTTTACGCGTGGCCGCCGATGCCTCCAGCAGCTGATCCCGCACCTCCTCGGTGATCTGGGTCATGGGCTCCCTCCCTGCAACACACGGGACACATCTCCTTCCCTGAAACGGGCCAGAAACGCTGTCCACACCGTTCCACTCTGTTCCACAGCAGCTCTGTGGTCAGTACGGTTAGTGCAGCGAGGGTTCGGGTCACACTCTGCACCCTGAACACCAACCACGGCATGGGTACAAATTCACGGTGAAAAGAATCTGTCTTTACAAACAGACTGATTCTAGGGGTAAGATAAGGCTGATACTGGGAGAGAGAAGGAAACAATGGGAAGGATTTCCATGGGAATTACGCTGATTGACTTATCCCAGGCTGTGTTCATGGACTACAAGAGCACAGACACAGAGATGGATATTGAAAGGGGGCAATGGATGAGAGAAGGGGGGGTTCATCGGGCSTTTGGGGAGCCTGAACCTCTCAATATCTCAGCAATGGGTAAAGAGAGAGGGAACTGCGCCCGGGAAATTGGGATAAAAGAGGGAACTGCGTCCTCCATGAATTGGAGAGACCCCATGGGAAATGCCCATGACCTCTCCCTTTATTCATGAATAAAGTTGCGGGACTCCTCTGTCTCYTTTTTGGACAGAAACCTCTGGTGTTTGTGGATTAATTTTCCTAAMAACGGGTACAAATTCAGGCATTAATCGGTGAGGGCACACACACCCAGCACCAGCAGCGGTTACGGTAAAAGGACCTGCTTCAAAAGGAAATTAGAATTTCTTCAGGTATCGTTAGAGAAGGCACTGAGCACAACCCTATGGATCAGATTTAGCTTGTCACGGGACAAGGCAGCAGAGGMTCAGCTCAAACTTTTCCTCATTTCAACAGCACAACCTCACAAATGATGAAGAGGGGATGGAGCTCTTGAAATCCTGAGCCAGGGCACCACTGATCTCTGAACTTTGCTCTGTGGGATCAGAGATCAGAGCATTATTGCATCAATTGAAAYGAGTTCAAAACACGCTGCACTGCCCTGTCACTTCAGAAAGGGAACGACTGGGAATTACCTCTTTTCCTGTTGGGGACATCTCTGTCTGAGTCYTCATCTTTCTTTTTGTTCCCCAAGTCACTGGTGTTGACTGTGACAGTCGCCTTGATTTCTTGCTGYGCCACTTTCATGCGATCATAAAACACCTTAAAGAACTTCTCGGATTTCTTATCTTCCGTCAGTCGGCAGAAAAAGGAATGCTGCAAGAAACAAGGAACAGCATTTGCAGCTGCACACACAGCTCTGAACCCGGACTGTTCCAGGGTTCTGCACTGTGGTGTCCTGCAGGACTGTGAGGTTCATTAATTGTCACTAAACTGAAACTCAGAGCAATGGAAACTTGCAGTTCATTGTAAGGCAGCCCCAGTGGCTCAGCTTTGTTAAGTCCYTTATTAGCAACTTCAAATAGGCATTTAAAGAGAAGTGAGGGCAATAAATCACATCAGCCTGATAGGTTTGGGCAGCACACCCCACTCTCAACAAGGGAAATAAGCTAACTACCAGGCATTAAGGTAAGGAGAAGGGAATTCCCTATAATGTGATTCTCAGCTCAGAAACAAAAGGGTAYGAGGGAAATACAGAGGAAAAAGAACTGTCCTGCCTTCCCACCCTCAAATCCCAGGGACTGTGACTCATAACACGCAATAGCCAATGTTAATCACAGCCCAAAAATGTACAAACAGGACAATTCCTGAGGGACACTCGGGCTGAGTCTCCCCTGCCCTGCCTGCAGCAGCCTCCTAAAAACTCCTTTTTAGTTCCCGCTCCAATATATCTTTAAGTGACAGAAAAAACTCCGACTACTTTTAAGGAGGTTTATTACTCTTTTTCTGCACATATGTGCACGGAGACAGAAAGCTCTCCCTAAAATCGAGGAGAATACAAATCATGTGCAGGTCAAGAAGGAGCCAACACAGTGAGTGATCAGACAACTCTTGATGAAACCAATATGCTGTTACATAAATCAGGACCAGAGCTTAAACACGACTGAAGGATGAACTTGTAAGTGGGTCACCTTATGCAGAGCATTATGAAATTAGTTAGCATTCTGCAGCGGCTCGCCATCCAACAGCTTTACATGATGAATAGGAATGAAGCTTGATTTATTGAAAAAACAAATTAGAATGGGAATAGCAATATATCGTGCCCGCTCTGCTGTGGAGCACACGGGGCCGTGGCTGCTGCTGCCTTTGATCAGTCCCCAGCAGCTGCACAGAGAACACACCGAGTGACTTTGAACACTCCGAGCCGTGGCTTTGATTACAGGCAGAGCAGGAGCGGGGATATTTAAAGAACGTGGTCAATATTCACCAGACGTCCCTCCCACCACTGCAGCACCTCCCACCCGCCCTGAGCACTCAGGTAAACTCTGAAAATTCTGTTTATTTCTAGTGATTAATGGGAAGGAGGGAAAGGAGAAGAATCTGGGACAGAAATCCCAAATCCCAGTCACACCAGTACCCCCTCCTGCCACCCATCCAAAGTCCAGCAAAGCAGAGCTGCCAGAGCCCTGCTGCACCTGCCTTCTGCCCAAACAATGTGATGATCTGGGGCCCAATTCATTTATTAGTATTGCTACAATAAAAATAAAATATYTAACCCAAGACTTGGTATCAAGAATTTGAATGTTTTCTCATAACRTCTTCCCATGGCTTTAAACCGAAAGAGGGCTGACTTAGATTGGATAAATTTGAGAAATTCTTCCCTGTGAGGGGGGTGAGGGTGACCAACAACCAAACCCCTCAATAACTGTGGGGTTGAGGCAGCCAAGATTAAATAAATCTGTTAYTTGGTGGCCACAAGGACGGGCAGAGGAGGAATTTGTTTCTAAAGAGCATCTTGGAAATTTCACTCAACCAAGATTACAAATAACAACAATAACAATTCACAGACAGACCAGCAGAAACCACGGGCTYTAGAGAGGCCAAGCATTTTCTGAAAATTCCCAGGATTTGGTCATCAAATGGCTGTCCTGGCTGTCCCACCTCCAGAGCCCACACGGGAGGAGTTTTCCTGGGATGAAGGAAAAGCCTCTTTTAATGAACCACCCTGAAGAAATACCTTTTATGAGAGTAATTACTACTTGCTGACAGACTTGATTTTTGTCTTCTTTTCAAGCTTCTTAACTGACTTTCCACCGCGCTTCAGAGAAAAACCCAAATGAAAGGAGCATTTCCAGTAAAGCTTTTTGTGCATGCTGTGCACACACTGAAGGGGTGTCACCAAATGATTGTTTCAGTTTAGGTCAGGATGCCTAACACCTTCACACATATGAATCAACCACATGCCAGCTCCCAAAGATACTGTATTTTAAGAGGTGTGATCTCACAAGTTGCGCTCGAGCAGGTAACGGGTGGTGATAATTATGACAGAAATCCTAAAATTTTATTTACAGACACAGCCTCCGAGCAGAAAGTGGAGAAATCTCCCTTTTTTAAAACGGAAATGGAGTGGCCATTTTAGAGCACCGTCTGCTGGGGTCCTGGCTTGTGTACAGACACCACGGAACCACGGGCTGCTGAAAGAGCAAGTGTGGAGGAACAGCCAACCTCCACACTGCTGTGGGAYTGTGAGGAACAGAGCTCCACACACAGCCCTGACACCAGCCAGCCCTCAGGATCCAGGCAGCACCACGCTGAGGTTTGGGAGCTCCTAAAATCCTCCTGCAGGGCAGGGAACTGAGCTCCACAGMAAACCAGTATGGGATGAGCCTGCCTGTCCCAGTATGGAAAAGCTGCCCGAGAGGCACTGGAGACACAGCTCCAGATGGTACTGGAGAAACGGGCAGGGAAGGGCAGAGAGGGACAAGGGATGGAGGGACAGACAAGGGGAATGGGCTCCATATCCCACTGAATGCGATATTGGGATGAAATCCTTCCCTGGMWGGGTGGGGAGGCCCTGGCACAGAAAGGTTTCCCAGAGCAGCTCCATCCCTGGCAGTGCCCAAGGCCAGGCTGGACAGGGCTTGGAGCAGCCTGGGACAGTGGAAGGTGTCCCTGCCATGGCWGGGGRKTGGAAGGAGATGATATTTAAGGTCCCTTTGAACCCAAACCATTCTGGCACCTTACCGAGTGCTGAACYCGTGCAATATGAAACTGTTTGATTTCAGCCTTGAGTTCCTAAAGTCTGCTGAGTCCTTGGTCCTGGACAGGAGCCACAGCAGCCCTGAGGTTTACCCCATGAACTCAGCTCAGCAGAGAGCTGTGCAAGGGCCCAGAGCTCAGGAATGCCCAGCAGAACTCAGCGCCCACACCAGTGAAGGAACCACGGTACTGAGGTGACAATGCCATGGATAATGGGATGGGAATTAATGACACCAAAACCACCCCATGAGACATGGCCCATTGTCTGCCAGGACACAGCCACAGAGCTCTCCACCATTGCAAGGAGGGAGGAACCACCACACATTTGTTGTTTGGAGGGGATGGAGGGAGAGCCTGGCACAGCAGCACAGCACTGCTGCTCCTGACCCCAAACCAAGCACCACAGAGCACATCAGTGAATAACACCAGCTACCAGCAAACCTGTGCAGAAACTTCTTCCTTCTCCTCTCCACCACCCAGGGAATCCAGGAAATCCCAGGGAATCACCTCTCCACTCTGCTCACAAGGAATCCCAGCCAGGACAGCACAACATCCCCCTACAGCTCTGTCCCTCCAGGGTGGGCAGCGAGCAAAGAGCATCACCCCTGTGACTTCATCTCCTTCTGACTTCATCTTCTGCTGCCAAAATGTGGCACAAGAACTGCTGCAAAGCAAGAGATGGATTTCTCTGGGAAAGAAATCAAAGGCCAAGTTTCAGCCCAGTGACAGCTACAGCCTGGCCCACCCTGGAGCAGCCCCCGAGCTCCCTCACCCTGTGCTTCATGAGGTTTTTTTTTTGAGAGAAGCATCTTGTCTTTGAGAAAGTGTCAGAGGTGATGAACTATGTCTGTCTATGTTCTATTCCAGTGGTTAACAACTTTTACAAATGTGGTTAAGCTCCTTTTCATGCCACTACCTTCCAGTCACTGATGTTTTGTGTTTCTTCTGMAGTTATTCCCAGGAACTTGGTCTCCTCTCCCCTTCTGAGTATTTACATACTCTGTGAAATGTTTACCTAACGTTTCATGCTAAGCTGAAAATACCATTTTTGCTTGCTGGCTTTTTATTCAGCATTAAGATAATTTTCTGTGGTGGGTATTTTTTGGCATGTTCTTAAATATTGCAAATCATTAACAGGCTGGATGGTAGAACCACATTAAAAAAAAATAAATCAGCAAAGAACAGGCACATTTGCTGGCATTAGCATTTAATTCTGAGACCTCTGACATACGCAATACACATAATTTCTAATGATGAGTGGAAGGGAAGCTCAGGAGAGTGGGATTATGGAGGCAGGATAACCACAGGGCAGGGACAAACGCTCCTGAACGTGTCACTCACACCAGCAGCTGGTGACAAATTGGATTTTAGCCAACAGAACTGACATCTGTCCTTTGGAGAGTGAAACCATAAAGCACAGCAGTGCAGTCCCTTTGTGGAAGGTGCACAGAGGATAGACCCAGGTAAATAATCCACTGTAAATATAACTAATCCACAATGAATTCAGTGATGAGAGAGCCTGTGCTGGTGTGGGATTGTTAAATGATTTGAGACCCTGCCAGCCTGGCCCGTGTGTGCTGTCCCATTATCAGGAACACCTTTCCCTGCCCYGTTACCTGATCTGCCCTGTTTTACCAGCCAAGAAAAGAACAGCAGTGGGATTGTTTGGCGTGCAACTCTTGACTCTGAGCTCCAGGCTGAGCTGTCTGATCCTGGGAGAAGCAGCCCCAAAGCACAGAGCCAGCCCTGGGCTGAGGAAAGCTCTGCTCAGCCGTGTCTGCTGGCCAGACCATCCCAGCACATCCCAAAGAATTCCCCAGCAAAACAAGCGTTGGATTACCAAGAAATCAGGGAAAGCAAAGCTCCAGCAAACACCTCCCCAGTTAAAGGAAACTGCTGTGGTCTCCTTCCCCATTTCTCTAATGCCAGTGAACAGAAAACACCCCGTGAACTAGGCGAGATTGCAGAGAGGAAAGTCCCTCCAGAAGGAGCAGAAAGCTCAGCGATCTGGCTCCAACTCAGGACATTTTATTCCAACACTGGAGAGAAATCATTGCAGGGACCTCAGCTCGCTCGGGTTATCCGGGCTGCCAGCACCAACTAATGCAAAACTTGTG